ATTTAACACTGGGAAATTTACTGTGCATCAAATATCGGATTGATTTTAAGATTTTATTGCTTACATTCAATTCAATTTTATTTATATAGCGCCAAATCACAACAACAGTCGCCTCAAGGCGCTTTATACTGTACAGTAAGGGAAAATCGTAAGTAATGTTGCGCCTTGCTATTTAACTGAACTTCTCAGCCTGTATCCTGAAGGCACTTCTATCATGGAGTCAAATGACCTTGGTGCAACCTCGGTCTCAGAAAACCAGAGGTGATCGTGCCTTTGCCTGCTGCACCGAACCTCTGGAACAATCTTCCAGCTGATATTCGCGCGCCGGAATCTATTCAATCTTTTAAAACACGATTGAAAACTTATTTATTTGATCTTGCATTTTCAGTTAGTGATTTGTCGGCTGTACACTTTGTACTTTTATTACATTTTGTATGTAATTTTAACCTATTGTTTTACTGGGTTTTTGCAGTTGATATTTCTGTGTTGATTTTACCGAACTTTTACACTAAGTGTGAAATATTTGTTTTAACATAGTACTCCCGGGCTAATTAGTGCTTTGTTTTATCTGGGAATTTATTTATACTCTACTATCGTACCCATATGCAATTAATTTTGTTTCATATTTTATTACTGAGAAGCACTTTGATGTACCTCCGGTCTTTAAATGTGCTATATAAATAAAGTATTGATTGATTGACTGCCAGAACAAAACATCTGTCCCAAGGTAAAGTCTCTCATTGCACAATTTTCCCTCTCTGTGATTTTGACTGTTAACCTCACACTTTACAGAAATGTTGTACAGAAGGACAGAGTCTATGAGCTCAAACCTGAAAATGCTTGTACTTGAGATGTTCAGCACTTTTTTGAAAGCACTTTATAAATAAAGTTATTATTATTATTATTATTAAAACACAATTAGAGTTCACCCACTAATCTACCAATGTGAACACAAGTATGCTTTACTCGCTTTTATTAGTTTAGTAACAATACAGTACATGCACAAAACGGCCAAACTTTCCTGCTGCAGATATGGCCGTTATCTGTTTCTGTCCAGCACATGAGCTGCATACACAGGAAATGAAACAGCACCCTCTGTGTCAGTCAACATTTGTGATGGCAGGTTTCAAACATAGAAAACATGAATTTACAAATAGCCAACCAAATGTTGCACATTGGGAAAGTCAAACTGAACAAAGTGCATGAAATGCTCTGAAGACTAAGATGACATCAGTTTTACATTAATTTGTAGCATTAAAGTATCCAGAAAAGTGAGTCCAACTTTTAAATAAATCAAAAGTCATAATGCTGACGTTTTCTTGCTAGCCTGAACTCTAGAATTAATCTCAAGGCCTGAGCAGCATGAAGGATGAGATAATGTCTCTGGGGCAGACGTCTTGGTGAAGCAGGGGCTGGATAGCGTGACAGACAGAGAGTGCGCATCTTCTAAACACAGCAGTAGAGAGAGGAGCAGCAGGCAGCACGGGAGCAAACAATCCGTGATGGATCTTTACTTCAGAGGTTAGTCAAATGCTTATGTTGGTTTTCCGCCCCACGTTCAATGCTTTTGAAATGTATCTATGAAATAACATAATTTAATTTTTTAAAAATATTTTCATTATGATTGCTATTATTACTGTGTTACTACATCATTAACTCCATTTAAGCCTTTAATGCCTCATATTTGATACATGAAAGCTTTTGAGACTTCAGTCATCAGTTTTTTCTCCCTGAAAAACCCAAGTGCACAATTTATTTTAAGCAATAAATTGCAAAAATATATATGAAAATAAACATTTAATTGAAATATCAGAAGGTTCAATAAATGCTCCATGTTCAAAACGCTATAATGGCTCAGACTTCAGGAGGTGAAGTTTTCTTTTATACAGATAAAATGACTAAAATGAGTTATTAAAATCGAAATAAAGAAAAATGTGGACTCTCATTGGCTTTATTTTTACTTCCCAGGCACCACGTGGATGATGCCCTTGCTCTTTATGATTCCAGACTTTACCCACAGCAGTTCTTGCCCCAGCAGTTGCCGATGCAACCCTCAAGGCGCTGCCATGTGTACTGGCTCCACCATCACTGATATACCGCCTCTGCCTCTCCACACATACCTGCTGCAGCTCAGTGTTACAAACATGAATGTCCTAAATGAGCGAAGTTTAGCAAATCTGGACCTCCTGCTGCGTTTCAGTCTCATAAAGAGTCATCTACACACCGTCCATCCTCAGGCTTTCTTCATAGCTCCCCAGCTCAAGTCTGTCAAGCTGTCATCTAACGATCTGTCGACCCTTCCTCCTCGAGTGTTCAGTCCACTTGCTGCTCTTGAGCAGCTGCATCTAGATGGGAACCAGTTTGAGAACATTCATCCAGACATGTTTGAAGGACTGGGTGGGTTGCAGGATCTGGACCTAAGCCGCAACAAACTCAGGAGTCTTGATCCAGACCTATTTGAAGGACTGACCAACCTCACCTTTCTGAATCTTGGAAGGAACTTCATAAAGAAGCTTCCTCCTACCATCTTTCACTCCTTGACTAAACTTCAGCAGCTTATACTCTATTACAATGAACTAGAATTTCTAGAAGCTGGCATCTTTGACAAACTCATCAACCTCGTGGAGCTAAAACTCCATCAAAACCAGATTGCCAGCCTTCCACCTAAAGTCTTCTGGCCTCTGGGGAACCTGAAAAACCTGACCTTATCCTCCAACCAACTTCAGGCCATCCCAGAAAAGAGCTTCTACCACATGCCAAAGTTGGTCAAACTCACCATTTACAAGAATCCACTATTATCTCTACCAGATGAGCTGATGGGTCACATGCCCGACATGACAGAGTTCTATCTATATGCCACCAACCTCATCACGGTTCCTGGAAATTTGTTCGCTAACATGTCTGGGCTGCTTATGCTGAACTTCCATTTAAATGACAATCTGAGGGACCTTCCACCAGATGTTTTCTGCTGTCTTCCAAACCTTCAGAAGCTCTCGCTAAAATCCAACAACCTCCATTATCTTCATCCCCAGCTATTCTCCAAACTAACCACCCTGAAGAAACTTCACCTCAATGACAATAAGTTGTATGGCCTACCAGAAGATATCTTTAAGGGTCTTGGAGAGATTCTTGAAATTTTATTGAACAATAACAACCTTAGCAGTCTTCCAGGAGATATTTTCGTGTCTCTTCCAGCTTTGATGAATCTGACTCTGAGTGGAAACCCCTGGGATTGTAATTGTGCTATCAGAGGCATTGCAAGATGGATGAGACACAATGAGCATGTGCTTTGGGACAGAGATGACGTGATGTGTCACACTCCAATCTACCAGCTGCTGCGTACCGTTGGCTCGCTGCATGATGAAGAGTTCAGCTTTTGCAGTGCTACAACAGCCAAGAGTTTTCCTCTACAAGATTTGAACCGGTCACCAACACAACCACTCCACATGTTGTCAACCTCTGGACAAACATCAGCTTTAACTTCCATAACCACACCCCCCACAACGGCTACTCGATCCAAGGAAGCGGCGATCCAAACCACTCAAGGAGCTACCCAAAAAGTCCCTGACAAAATAACCACTCAGACTGTAAAAGCAACCACATCAGATGATACAACACTCTCAGCATCACTTTCCACTGAACTTATTGGTAAATTTGCTCAGAACATGTCACCTCCTTTTTATGGCATATTGGTGATAGAACCGGGGCCTGAGTTTGTCCACCATAACCATCAGAAAGGCTGGGTGTATGTGTGGTTTCTGCCCTCAAACACGGCTTTGGCTGGGTTCCTCATGTTCTCTCACATCCTTCTTCTAGCTACAGGGTTGTCGCTTATTCTTGCTACCATGTATGGCATGTATCGCCTCCACAAGGCCACGTATAAGCTAAAGGCTGAGTGTGCTCGTCATGAGGCGTAGCGCTGGCTTATCGGGCTGGTGCACAACTAGATAAACGATCCTCTTCTAGCGGCTGACAATTACTGTGTTTGTTTTCTCTGAACACATTTCCTCAGGAAAATCAGACTTTGAAATATGATGGAATTGAACCCTGTGGGGTTTTTCAGAAAAAAGCACATTCAGATGGTATTGTGTTTAATTTTATATCACAGCTAAACTAATATCTGTCAATAGTCAGCATACAGAGCAAATATTTGAATGTTCATCAATCAAATGGGAAGATTTTAGGTCTATTTTGAAACTGGGTAGCTATGCAGACTGCTAAAGTCCTGCCTGTTCATGTCCAAATTATTCAAATTAAAAGTGCCCAACACTGGTAAAAAGATTCATGCTATGATGCACATATTCAAACTCTTTAAAAAATATTGTGGTGTAATTATGATAATAATGATAAAATGAGAGGATTGTATAATGCCTTATATACATATATCATTGTTTATTCTATAGTCATACAGTTTCTGTTAAAGCCGGAGAGAGCCACTGAAGAACCCACCTGTTGTTGACCACTGTTTGTTTTTCAAGCATATAAAGTGAAAACCTGGTTTCTTCCACTGGTCTTTTGCTTTCACCATGTCTCGAGTCATACACACTGATGCCTGCTGTATTTATAAATGTACGTTTTATCTACTATGCCAAGACTGCAGTGCTTCAGCAGCTTATAGATAACACACGTCAGTGTTAAAGCTGCAGGTGATTTGTTTCCCTCCAGTGGTGGATACTTGAAACTGCAAGACGAAAGCGCACGACTGGACAGTGTCTACTTTTATATTTGTGCTATTTACAGATGTTTATTTCAAAATGTTAAAGCTGTGTGTGTTGTGAGCTACACTTTATATACCCAGAGCCTGTTGTGTATTTCTCTTTGTAAGGCATTCATGTAATGGCCTTTTTTAAAAGCTAGGTTAGGGTTAGCTGTGATGCTGTCATCATTTGTATTTTATGCCATGAAAATGAATGATTAAAGTGGGTTTTTTTTTATATCTTAAACCTGTCCACTTCTGTGATCAAACTGCTAAATATTTGACCGATTGAGCAGATCGTGGTCAAGATTTTGGAGTATCTTGTTTAATCCCACAGCACCTGTTATTCGAACAGCTGCTGTAAACAACCATTATTCCTTATCTGGATTTGACTTCCTTTTCAGGAATGTTACAGAAATGTGCTTTCCCAGAAGGAATTACACATCTTCACAGGAAGATTATGCCCTAATCTTTGTAACAACGTTCAAAACAGGAAACACATCTATCCATGATGTCACGAGGTCAGTATGTTTAGCTTTTGAGATGACGAATCCATTTATGAAATGACGCCCCTGTAATTTCACAAGCCTCTGTCATAACCTCAAAAATGTGAACGTACATCCAGCCCAGTTCCCTTTTTAATAACTGTGCAACATGTTTCATTACAAAGCCGCTCTTTAATTCTACCGAAGTTTTGACACAAATGTTTTTCATGAGAAAGGAAATAACTAAAGGTGAAGTTCGTACATTTAAAGTTTCATTTGTGAGCAGCTTGTCCTCACAGTTGGACATTACACATTGTTCTGTAGAGACTAAACAAGGGGCCATATTTGCCTGAGTCACAATAATTTTTCAAGTCTTTTAAACCCTAAAAATGACGGCAGATGCCACAAATTCCACGAGAGGTGATTGGACGCTAAACCAAGCAGCAAACAAAAGAGGATGAATTGGTGAGCAGTGCCCAAGTTCATTGCTATGACAACAGGTGATTAGGACTTTCCAGCAGGCTGAGCTCACACAACAGTGGGCACATACACAGGGTCAGCGTGGGGAGAGGAAAACTGCAGGGGCACAAGAAATATTGGACCAATGTGGAAAACAAGACTTTAGGAAGAGAAACAAAAACCTGTTGATTCATAGCTCTGGGAGGAATCTTTCATTTGTCTATGTTAACCTTCTAACTTTGACCGTAATGCCAGCTGGGAGGGATTTCCCAAAACATGAGCAAATGTGGAATTCCCAGAGTCTTGGCTACAGGGTGGAATTTTAATGCTCTTGATTAAGCTGATGGACATTATGGACAATGCTGGGCATCCTCTGCACACGGCCATAAACAACCAGAAGAGTCTGTTCAGTGACAGGTTGCTTCTCCCAAAGACAAGAACTAACAGACTTAAAAACTCCTTTGTCCCACACGCCATCAAACTGTTTAACTCCTCTCTGGAGGGGAGAGGGAGGGGAGACAGGGGGACAAAGGAGGGGGGAACAACTAAGCTGTAGTGCCTCTGCACCTCACTGTACAATACCTTGTGCAATACTTTTTGTAAATAGTCAACAGTGCAATAGACTCAATACTTGAAATGTGCAATTCACTTGTATTTTTATTTTTTATTCCTATTTATTCTATTTATCCCCTTTGTATATTTTATTTATATTTGTCTCTGTATTTATATATGTGTGTGTGTGTGTGTGTGTGTGTGTGTGTGTGTGTGTGTGTGTGTGTGTGTGTGTATATATATATATAACAGTTCTGTAACTGTAACTTCGGTCGTTGCTGTGCTTTTTTTGGAAGTCGAATTTCCCAGAGGAACCCACCCGAGGGATTAATAAAGTTCTATCTTATCTTATCTTATCTTATCTTAAGCCCAATAATAAGCTGTTTATTTAAAAAATAGGAATCTGGAGAACTGGTGCCAGAGGAACAACCTCCTTCTAAACGTCAGTAAGACAAAGGAGCTGATAGTGGACTTCAGCACTAAGCAGGAGAGGAACTACCAGACCCCCGTCATCAACGAGTGCCCAGTGGAGAGAGTGGACAGCTTCAAATACCTCGGAGTTCACATCACGCAGGACCTGTCATGGTCCTGTCACATCAACACCGTGGTGAAAAAGGCCCGACAGCGTCTCTACCACCTCAGACGCTTGAGAGACTTCCAACTGCCCTCCAAGGTGCTCAGGAACTTTTACTCGTGCACCATAGAGAGCATCCTGACGGGAAACATCTTAACCTGGTTCGGGAACAGCACCATGCAGGACAGACGAGCTCTACAGAGGGTTGTGCGGTCAGCTGAGCGCACCATCCGCTCCGAGCTCCCTGACCTGCACTCAATCTACAGCAGGCGGTGCTGGACCAAGGCCAGGAAGATGGTGAAGGACCTCAGCCATCCCAACAACAGACTGTTCTCTCTGCTGAGGTCAGGAAAGCGATTCCACTCCCTGAAGACCAACACAGAGAGACTGAGGAGGAGCTTCTTCCCGCAGGCGATACGGTCTCTCAATCACACCACCACACAGTACTGACCCACACATATGGTTCTTACACACACACTGGACTTTCTGGACTTTGGTTTTGCACAACACTGGTCACTATATTCTTCATTTCCGGTTAATACTTGTACAGCTGCTGTTATTGTGTATATATTTATATTTCTTCATACATTCTTATATAGTTCTATATTGTGTATTTTGTTGTACAGTTATTTTATTTTCAACTTTAATTTATATATTTTATCTTATTCTTTCCCAGTTAAATTTACCCTTCATTCTAATTTGTGTTGTACAGTTATTTCATTTTTAACCTTAATTTATATTTTATTCCTTCCTAGTTAAATTTACCCTTTTTAATTTTTCATATTTATTTCCTATCTTATTCATAGCCTTTTCCTTTTTTGTTTTCTTTAGGTCACGAGCAGTTGTCCAAGCATTTCACTACATATCGTACTGTGTATGACTGTGTACGTGACAAATAAAATTTGAAAAAAACAGGCTGTAAGTTGAGTCATACTGAATGTACATATCCTAATATTCCTTTCTAAATCCTCCGTAAAGAACATGCACTCGTTACATCACAAAGAAGAGCAGCTATAACTGTAACCCTGCTCAATCCGGCTTCTTTTTTATATATTATGTGTTCACTGAAGTTCACTGAAATAATAAGGTGAACATTTGATCAGTCTGTAAATCTGTGAAAGGATTTCAAAGCTTGGTATCTTCACATGGCTCTGTAACTCACAGCTAAGTGTTTTCAGTTGTCACAGATTGCATGTTCTGGTCAGTTGATTTTATGACTGAGAACTTCAGCACTCACAGTTACATGTGTAAGTTTGTAATAGTGCATTTAAAGCATTTCTTTAAATGCTCTCACCCCAACCAGTCACAGCAGATGGCTCCACCCCTGCCGGAGGTTTCTTCCTGTTAAAAGGGAGTTTTTCCTTCCCACTGTCACCACAGCGCTTGCTCATAGGCAGTCGTATGATTGTTGGGTTTTTCTCTGTATGTATTATTGTAGGATTTCCTTACAAAATAAAGCACCTTGAGGCGATTTGAGGCTGTATAAATAACTTGAATTGAATTGAATGCTGAGGAAAGGCAAGTGCTGAAGCTTTTCTAACTGCTCCGTAACATTAAATATTGTATACCAGTCCTCACTCATAAGTTGACATTTCTATGGTTCAGCACCATTAAGCTGGTTTGTCTGGATTGAAGCTGAGCGCGCTGGTTTTCCTGTTTGTTCTCACAGGCTCTCATGGGGGAAGGAATTCACTGTTTCTCCACAAACTGGTGTGCAGGTACGTGTCCCCAGCTTTCACAGGCTTGAATCCAGATAAGTGTTTCTTTGTGGACGCGAGTGGATCAGGCAGCTTTGTCCACAGGTAAGACAGGCAGGTGCAAAAACACGGTGAGTGGGTAATCTTACTCAGGAACAAGAAAACATGCTTCACCTATCAGGAGAGTCCAGTCTCACTACAACATGACAATTTTAGTTCAACAATCCAGTGAGGAATAGAGAGGAGAAACGAGGTGAGTGTAAGTGGAATCAGACATGCCACTGGCTACTAGGCAGCCACGCCCATACCTGTGAAGAGCACCTAATACTAATACTAGTACTAATCAAATGTCAATAATAAACATATGCCATGCGTTTCCAGCAGGAAATTCTTTTTATCCTGAACTCTTTTACTGAAAACTGTAGAATTAACAGGATAATAAACTCGGACCATTTTGCATTTAATCATTAGTTATTGGTTATTAAACTCTGGGTTTAAGCCTGTCTGTCCCAGAGGTTTCTTCCTGTCAATCTTCCTCTTTTTCTTTGCAAGTACTTTCTCGCAGAGTTGCATCTATTTGATGGGATTTTTCTATTATTGCAGGGTCTTTACCTTACAATAGAAAGCACCTTGAACAGAAGAACAGAAAATGCTATCTTGTCATGCAGTCTTTTGGGATACTAATTTAGAAGCTATTGTACACAGAATGTGGGATAGATTTGCTTTATAGTAAAATATGCAAAACTAAAAACATACAATAGCTCTCATGTCGGAGGCATGTAAATCAAATCAGTTATAAAACACAATTATTTATGTTTCAATATTGCAATAAAAGTGTTTAGGACAGTTTTGTGCACTGCAGCAACATCTGCCTTTAGATGAGCTCCACCCTCATTATCTGTTTCCAGTAGTTTCCTGTGTGATAGAGTTTAAAAGCTAAAAGCTGCATATCACTGGCAGATCAGAGCCATCTTTTTCACCTAAAAACCAGAAAACAAGACAAATTTAGCACTAAAGCTTAATCACATAATAATTCCCTTTACTGTTTGTGATATCAAAGAAACCGTTCCACTCTGTTTTGTAATAGCGTGTTTGGCTCACATGAGAAATATGCACACAACACGAGCAAAAGCTGTAGAGGCAAGGAAAGCTTCGTTGCTTAATTCTATCCAGATGTACTAAATGCTAAAAGTTGTTCCTGAACTTACCCGCACAAGACTTTCATTATGATATGAAAATAATAAGAAAATGTATCATTTTTGTTACAGCAGAGAGAGTGAACGCTCATTCAGTGTGTTTGTGGGTGGATTGTGTTACAGTCTGTCCCTAAAAGTGGATTTGGGAAACCAAACCCATCCATTTACAAGCATACCATGAATGTTACTCCAAAGATATGTGCAGACCATACTTTGCACACCCAAGCAGACACACAAACAACATTGCCACAAACTAAAAACACAAAACAATCTCCATTGTTCTGTCCAGAGTCACTTGTCACCCTTCCTGTAACCACTAGCACACATATACATCTTTCCTTGTCCATTAAATAAAGAAGCTTGAGGCATTAAAAAAAGTGTCTTTGCTAAGATGAAACAGAGACCAAATACCCACATAAACACAAAATCAGTTCAGTCCCAGGCTGGTACCAGAGGGTGGGGCTTCTGCTGGTCTGATCCCCCTCCACCACATTTAGAAAAAAAGGGTGAGTGTGTGTGAGACACCGAGGGGGAAGGAACGGCCAGGAAGCTCAGAAACAGGATCTACACATTTCTTGTGTGAGACAGAGAGAAAAAAAGCTGACTTATAAAATTTGACTGATGACGAAGAGCAGGAAAATGTGATGGTGTGAAAGTTCAGGCAGTGCTGGAAACTTTCAGAGGATTAGTAAAACTGAGGAGGAAGGGAGGACGCACATAAAAGAACTCCACACCGACTCACTGTCTCTGTTCAGGGATCGCAGCACGAGAGGTAAGCTCAGCAAAACAGCACGCTGGCCTACTTTGTTCCTTTATTTGACTTTTTCTTTTTTTAAAACTTTTATTTACTTAAGACTTAAGATGTGTCCAGTATATTTCTGAGGTAAATGTAACAGGAAACAAACAAGATAAAGAAGTCGGTGACAGTAATGTGGAATAAGATATAATGTTAGTTTTTCTTCTTGTTATTTTTTAAATATTAAATTTATAATACGTTGTATAGTCATGTGTTTTCATGTGTAAAACAATTAGCTTTTTAATATGTCATTATTATAAGAGTTACGTTTTGAATTACATGACAAAGTGTATTTTTTATGTCATGTCAGCTACGGTGTTCATCAAAACATGCTAAATAAAACATGCATGGCCTTCTGCAGCTCTGCTCCTACGCTCTTTTCACAGAACATAATGTTCTGAGCCTTTAATTATCGAAGGGAGAAAAACATCTAAGGAATTACTGGTGAACTGGAAATGGTTTAACCATTATATTACAACACAGATCATTTCAGGCTGTCCCAGTGACGAAATGACAGTGGGTTTGGGTTGGACTGAGAGGATAAAGTCTGCCAGAGATGACACATAGTTTAGGTGTTAATTTACCTTTTCTTCTCCCTCCTGCTGGCTCCTCCGCTTTTTAATACGGCGAAAATGATCCCATATAACAAAAGGAAGGGTATTCCACGGATACCTAAATTTTATTTTTCAGTAGTTCGGTAATTAGAAACCCGTCTATGACTAAAGTCTGAACTCTGACCGGCCACATTCACAGCAGGAAAGAAAAAGGAAATAATCATGAAACTGTTCGGTGTCTCTTATAGGAAAGTTAAAAGAAATAAGAATTATGAGGAATTAAATGAGGTATTATGTTAGTATGGCTAGAAATCATGTAAACGTTATAAAATTGTAATAGCAGTGGAAACAATGACTTCACCCTCACAGCAGGAATCTAGTACCACCTCTCCAACCTTTTAATGAAAACAGAAAAAATGTGTTAAAATGTGAGCAGCTGGGACGGACCAGCATGGATTTTATGACCTCCTGCTTTTGATGAAAAAAAAAGAAAAGAAGGAAGTTAAGAAATCTGATGCCTTTGAGTTCGTTTGAAGGATATTTTATTTTGTCTTTACAAAGTTCCTTCCTGAAAGACACTCTTGTTGCAAACTAATACATCTCATCTACTGAGAAGCAACTCAGGCTTGCCAGCCCTCAGTTGCAGGACTGAGAATTTGGTGAATTTGTGTGGAGAAGCAGGTCATGATGCTGGCAAGGTTTTGTTCCAGGAGCCGTCTGTGCCTCTACAAACAGTGAGAACGGCTCAGCTTCCAAACTTGTGCAGGCAGTCTGGCATGCTGAGAAGCAGACAAAACACTGAATTTCATTTGCTAACAAATATTCAGTGTTCACTTTCAAAAAATTTTGCAAAGCAAATTATTCAGGCATGAGTGGTTCAAAATTACTGCTTAACACAAATGCTGCATACACGGTTTTGCTGCCAGAGGCCTGCCAAGCATTTAGCAGTCAGTTCTGTTGGTGGGCAGTGCTCCTAGCTACGGGCAACATTGGATTAATTTATGCAAATGTCGGCTTCCTGGACGAAACACAAACTCAGAGGCTACACCATGAAGACACTGTTACTAATTAGAGCTGCATTCAGTAGAACTTTCCTATCATTGTGATGGTTCTGGGAGCAGAGAATCCCAATCTGACATGGAGAGGAGATAAATAAATCCTTTTCTTTACTGCCCTGTAAGCAAAAAGGTTTTGCAATAATAAATCAAATTTCAGAGTAGGTCCAGTGGCGTTAACACACCAGAAATGCAACAATGTCCATTTTCCCTCATGAATATCCAAAGTGGAGCAGTTCAGTTACTTTCGTAAGCAAAAATAACAGCGTTTGTTTAATGAGCGCTTGCTGGCCTTCCACATAAAGCAAAATCCCCACAGGTTGTACACAATCTTAATGTATCCAGACTTCTTTTTCTTAAATATGGCAACAAACATGGCTCACACTGATTTGTTTAGTGACTTTGGCATGTAACCAATCAACATATGTTTCTTCTATTTTAGGGCAATAATGGAGCTGCCAACGACACTTCCTGTACTCCTACTTCTCATGGCCCTCAGTGTTGTCTGGGCGTGTCCGGATGGATGCCAATGTAGAGGAAGCACAGTCCAATGCGTTGGCCTGTCAAACTTCCCCATGCCGCTGCCGTCATCTGCCACCAAACTCTATTTTTCAAAATGCAGTTTTAACTCTCTGGAGCCAGAACACATGACGAATTCGTTGGATTTGTTGCTAATTAAAGAATCTCTTTTGAGGGAAGTGCGCCCTGGCACGTTTAATTCAACACCACATATCGGGTCCTTAACATTAACTGGTACCCAACTGCAGGATCTGCCAGAAGCCTTGTTGAAAAATCTGCAGAAACTTGAGGCTTTGACACTAAGCATCAACAACCTCTTAGTACTTCGGCCTCAGTGGTTTTCCCTGTTGACCGAGCTTAGAAGACTTGACCTTAGTAGGAATCTTTTCACTGCAGTACCTGTGGAAACTTTTCATCCACTGAAACAGTTGAGCTACCTTTCCCTTTCTGGTAACAAAGTCAGCCAGCTATCTAGAGAAACCTTTAAGGGTCTTTCTCAGATCATAACTTTACGCCTTAATAGAAACATGCTACAGGAGCTTCAAGTTGGTACTTTGGATGACCTTGTAAACCTGGGAGAGCTGTCACTACAAGACAACCAAATCACTCACCTCCACCGTGACCTGTTCTCCAAGACTCCAAAACTCCAGAAGCTGTTTCTCTCCAACAACAAGATCACATCTCTCCCAGAAGGGATCTTCCTAAACGTGCCAAATCTTTCCCAGATCTCCCTGTATGAAAACCAGCTGGAGACTCTGGGGCCAAGGGTGTTTGGGCCCACGGCCCTTAAGGAGCTGTGGCTGTATGACAACAAGCTGAGTCGTGTGGAAAATGACACGTTCAGGAACCTGACTCAGTTACGCCTCCTGGTCCTCAGTCGTAACCGGATTAGTTATGTATCCACCAGTGCATTTAGAGGATTGGAACAGCTGGGAGAGGTATCCCTGCACACCAATCTGATCACGACCCTGCAAGCTGGGACTTTCCAGGTGCTACCAAGACTGGTCAACATTTCTCTGGAAAACAACTTCATCAAATCCCTCCCACGTGGTTTCCTCCAGGGTCTGACCCACCTGGGACAGATAGACCTGCGAAACAATTCCCTCCCTAACCTACCACAGGAGAGTTTAGATGCCCTTACTGCATCAGAGGAAGTACTCCTCCAGCAAAATCCCTGGAGGTGTGACAAGGATATTCTGCCACTTAGGGACTGGTTGAAGCTGCACCCATCAAAGACCAACCAAAGCCTTGTGGTCTGTGACGCTCCTTCCAGTCTGAATGGCGAGATGATTGCTTTGCTGGCAGATGAGAACTTGGTATCTCTCAGCTCTACTCAGGAGCCCGTGCTGACCTCAACAGAGAAGAGGAGGAGGCCACATACACCTCCAGCCAAAAGAAGCCCTCCCTCACCAGCTGTCAAGACGACCCCCACCTCAGAGTATGAAAAGGTAACCAGGAGTGGACAAGGGAATACTGGAAGCATTTCTCGTGATATTTCAATCACCCTAATTGTCATCGCAGTAGTGTGCACTGTCATCATCAGCACTGTAATTATCAGCTGTATTTGCTGGAGGAGAAATAAGAGTGGCACGGGGAATATAGGCCGCAGGAGTACGAACTCTGTGCTGTAGACTGCAATTCAAACAAAGCACACGAAGAACTTTTAGAGGGCGACTTTGGAGAGTTGGTAATTGAGCCTGAAAGGCACCAGAGAGTTCATTACCTTTCAGTTTTATTCATCAGATTTACCCCTCAGTGTGTCTTCCTGACTGTGCATCTTTGAGGAAAGAGATGCCATCTTAAATACTAACTGTAACAACAAATGCCTTAACAACTTTTGGCCAACCTGGACATATTTGTGAATGTAAACTGAAACATGCTTCGCCTGTTGAGTTAACCACCCAACGACTGTTTTTCATTAACAATTGTTGCAGCTTGACGGCTGATTTTGTGCTAACAACCCAACATTTAGCAAATAGTTGAGCTTCTTTGCAAAAGCGTTACAATATACATACAAAAGATGTAATATGGAGTTCACTAGGGGCAGGGCTAGCTCAGTAGGTAGAGTGGTGGCCCCATGATCGGAAGGTCGGGGGTTCGATTCCCCTGAACAGCTACCCTGAGGTACCCCTGAGCAAGGTACCGTCCCTACACACTGCTCCCCGGGTGCCCAGTGGCTGCCCACTGCTTCACTGAGTGAATGGGTTAAATGCAGAGAGGGATTTTCCCCACGGGGACCAATAAAGTACACTTTCTTCTTCTACTATACTATACATCACGCTTCAATAGCCTGAATAAATGCAACACTTCTAGTGAGAGCATGTGCACGCTCTCTTATTTACTGAGCTTCACCATTCATACTAGGTTTGACAAGTCTGACATTATTTATATAAATATATACATTGTTTCATATTTGAATTCTTGTGAAAATGATTTTAAACACGTGAAAGTTTTCAGCATGACACTGACATAGTGGGTTGTACATTTAATAAAACGTAACAAAAACAACAACCCAGGAGTACTAATTTTTTTTCCATCCATCCATTCACTTCCGCTTATCCTTTTTCAGGGTCGTGGGGGGCGCTGGAGCCTATCCCAGCTGTCATAGGGCAAGAGGCGGGGTCCACCCTGGACAGGTCGCCAGTCTGTCGCAGGGCCAACACACAGGGACAGACAACCATTCACACTCACTTTCACTCTCACATTCACACCTAGTGGCAATTGGGATTATCCAATTAACCTATCCCTACAAGCTGCATGTCTTTGGACGGTGGGAGGAAGCCGGAGTACCTGGAGGGAACCCACGCAAACACGGAGAGAACATGCAAACTCCACACAGAAAGACCCCGGCCTGATGCTGGAATTGAACTCAGGGCCTTCTTGCTGTGCGGCAACAGTGCTAACCACCGTGCCACCGTGCCGCCCACTAATTTTTTTAAATTCATTTATTTTAATATGGTAAAATTAAAAGAAACAAGGCAAGCCTCACGCTTCAATCACATAAATCCATACATAATAGCCAAGTACAGAGTGTCAGCATGAGTACCATTGTCAAGGTCCGGCTGTGTGGGAGGCAGGATGTGGACCCAAACAGAGGACTTAGAAAACAATAAGTAAACTTAAAATCTAACTGTAATGCTGACTATCCACAGAAATAACAAAAGAGCAAAAACTTCTCCAGGGCAAGAACTGGAAATCAGAGTACAGGTATATAAGGACAACACGTGTCAGAATCAGAATCAGAATACTTTATTGATCCCTGGGGGAAATTATTTTTGTTACAGTGCTCCATTATAAGCCAACATTAAGACAAGACAGACAATACACTAACTAAGAATAGTACAATATATACATATATATATATACATACATACATACATACATAAGTCACTCATAAATAAATAGCTGAACAAGAAACATGTGTAGTTATAGCAGCAAACAGCAAACAAACAGCGTGTCAGGGAGACACGCTGCTATGAGGGAAGACACAGCAAAGAACAGAGGGAGACTCAGACGATAAAAACCAACCAGGTAATGTAAGAGATGGAAAACAAATTAAACTAAGAAGTCCAAAACACAATACCCTGGGTTAAACACCCAGTTACATCTACTATCCTCTTGGTAAAATCCATTCTACATCCACAGTACCTTCCATTACACTGCCATCTAATGGAAAACAGTCACGATAAAGTCTGAAATACTTTAGCTGGAATCCAAAAGTTCCACCTGAAGCTTGCCTATGATTACAAACTGGAAGCAACAAATTCATCAAAAATGATGTTGTGCATTTTTTCGTGCTGTTCCAGTGAGGAAGTAAAAAACCAAAATAACAAACACATGTGCGTTTTAACTGGCCTGAAATATTGTGTTAAGCATGTGTTAAACATTAATCACACAGCTATGTATGACGTTAAAGAAAAACTCCACAATCTTGAATGCACTCTGTAGACGTGTGCAGTAACTAAAAAACTGATGCCTTGCTCTTATCTCGGGCTGCAGAAGTGTGCTGCGCCACGCCTCAGATGCAACAGACTTACAGCCTGTTGGAGCCTCAGTAATAATTACCTAACTCGCATGTGTCTCGTTTTTGCTGGAGCTTCATCCTCCAAAAGAAATAACCTGGTAGGTACCCTTTTCTTTGATATTTGACTAGGTTTAAAAAAAAAAGATTTTCCAGAGAAATTGCAGGTCTGAATTTGATGCATTAAAAACAAATCATGCTAAATTACAAACCAAAATGTAATTCTTGAAAATTTTGTATGAGGGTAAAAATATTTTTTTCTTTTTCTAGTGAATAAAAATGTCCAGAGGCGAGATCATCGTTTTCTTTCTACTTTTCATGCCTGACTTTTCACTGGCTGAAACCCAACCATGTGAAAAGGCGACTGACTGCCCCAAAGAGAACCAGGCAGTTTTTAGCTCAGCTACAGAAATCCCACGCTCTCTCAGACCCAAAGTGACAGAAGTCTTTTTTTTGGTTAGCCATATTACAACAATACCAAAAGGAGCCTTTGCTGAAAACCCACAGCTTGAAAAGGTGGAGTTCATAAACAGTAACATATCATCCATCGAGCTGGGAGCGTTCGAGGGACTGAAAAACCTGAAAAATATTGAGGTCTCTGGCAGCAAATTAACGTCACTCCCAGTAGGAGTCTTTAACGACCTCAGCAACATGGAGTTACTCGTACTCAAATCTAACAAGCTTCAAAGACTTGATAAAGGTTTGTTTGAAGGCCTTAAAAAACTAAGACACCTCCTGTTGAATTTGAATGAGATTAAGTTGATTGAAGATGAGACATTTGACGGTCTTGACAACCTTTTAATGCTCCATTTGGGTAAAAACAATCTCTCTGCTGTGTCAACTCACTGGTTCTCCAACCTAAACAAGCTGGAGGCATTCCGACTTTATGAGAATCAGCTGACCACCATTCCTGAAGACTTGTTTCAGAATTTACCAAACTTAAAGGAAATCAGCTTGCATGGAAACCAGATAGAAGAATTGCCTCCCAATCTGTTCCCTCATAAAAACAAACTGATTAAACTGTTGCTGGACAATAATCTTCTAACTACTTTTCCTGAGGGGTATTTTGTTGGCTTCCCTCAGCTTAAAACACTGACCCTGAAGAACAACAGGCTGAAAAGTTTGCCACCAGTGCTGTTTGGAGAAATGCCCAAATTGACCGAATTAAGCCTCCAGCAAAACAATCTCTCCAGTCTCCCTAAAGGAGTTTTTGGCCCTCTGAAGAAAATCAGGAAGCTGGACCTGTCGAAGAATAAATTCGTCACCTTGTCCCCTGAATACTTTGAAGGCCCAGAAAAGCTCACAGAACTGAATCTACAGAACAACATGATAGAGTCACTGGATAAAGATCTGTTTGAAAAGCTACAATCACTAGCCACTCTCAAGCTTGCTCACAACAACCTCCAGACGCTTCCTGGAGATATTTTTGACCCATTAGGAAAGCTCAGGAAGCTTGACCTCAGTAACAACCCGTGGCTCTGCGACTGTAACCTGATAGCCTTCCACAGCTGGGTGACCGGAAATGCTGCAAAGCTCACGTCTCCTCCACTCTGTGAGTGTCCCGAAGATTTGAAAGGGACGAAAATGCCCTCATTAACACAGGATCAGCTGATTTGCCCAGCACTTCCACCCACGACTACCACAACAACTACACCCACAACTACACCCACGACAACACTTCCACCCACGACTACCACAACAACTACACCCACAACTACACCCACGACAACACTTCCACCCACGACTACCACAACAACTACACCCACAACTACACCCACGACCACCCCAACCACAACTACACCCATGACAACAACTACACCCACGACCACCCCAACCACAACTACACCCACAACTACACCCACGACCACCCCAACCACAACTACACCCATGACAACAACTACACCCACGACAACACTTCCACCCACGACTACCACAACAACTACACCCACAACTACACCCACAACAACACTTCCACCCACGACCACCACAACAACTACACCCACAACTACACCCACGACAACAACTACACCCACGACCACCCCAACCACAACTACACCCATGACAACAACTACACCCACGACCACCCCAACCACAACTACACCCACGACCACCCCAACCACAACTACACCCACGACCACCCCAACCACAACTACACCCACGACCACCCCAACCACAACTACACCCATGACAACAACTACAGCCACGACCACCCCAACCACAACTACACCTACAACCACCCCAACCACAACCACACCCACAACCACCACTACATCCCTGACTACGACAACTACACCCACAACCACCCCAGTAACAACTGCACCCACGACTACCACAACAACTACAACCACCCCAACCACAACTGCAACCACAACCACTCCGACTACAATTGCAACCACCACTACTCTGACCACGACTGCACCCACAACAACATCTACACCCACAACCACCCCAACAACAAGTACAACCACAACTACTACAACAACTACATCTCCTCCACCCACTCCAGTGATCTTCTCCTGTCTGAACGTGACAACCTCAGAGCAGCAGCAAGCTTACTTTGTTCCTCAAGACAGCACAAAAGTTCAGCAGTGCAAAACTCATCTGAAGGTTTACATTGTTATTCTGGTGGTAGAGATTATCTGCACATTGGCTCTGGCTAAGTTCACCATTTCACTTTATCACCTACTCCAGCGCAGTGAGAGGTTGTACCACAAAGTGAAACTCACCCGCTTCTCCTACAAGAGGGAAGTCATCCTACGGCCTCTGCGAGAGGCAGAGACCCGAGGACTTTGAATTTTCTGAGGTGCTGCTAGAGATCAGAGTTTAATCATCCGAAAGATCACCAGGATGGCAAATAGGCCAGAAGCAATCATACAACTTATCACAACATCCTTAAAGCTGTAATAATTCATCTTAAATGATTTGTGAGCAGTGGAGCGATAAGATGAAGAAAGAATAAGAAGTAAGAATGATGCATACACATGCATTAGGTTTTGTATCCCTTGCTCAAATGTAATGTTTCTGGATGTTTTCTCTGTTTTTGCTTAAAAATATATGCAAAAGATATTAGTTTTTTGTTTTTTTATGTCAAATATAATAAAATGTACATAATTAAAAAAGACGTTTCTGAAACTAGTCATTACTGAGATTTCCTTTAACACATTCTTACAGCAAGGGGGTGGCAGAGATCCATAAGATCTCACTCACATTCACCAAAAACAAAAAACAAGAGGTGCTAAGAATAGGACCAGTTCTGCAAATTAGAGACACTGTAACAGGTAAGAGAAGTGCTCACTAACACAGATTTGGACAGATTTGTGAACAATATTTGAGAGTCATGGGTCTTTCAATTTTAAATCATGCTTTTTATTTGTTCTTGTTTCTAATGTCTCTGTAAAGCACTTTGAATCACCTTGTTGTTGAATTGTGCTATACAAATAAACTTGCCTTGCCTTGCCTTTGTGCATGTAGAAAATGTTTCAGATCTTTAAAAAATGGGAGCAAAAGTGTTGCGTTTATATTTTTGTTCAGTGTAGTTCACTGCCACACAAAAGCAAATTCTCCCAACATGTTGAAATTGGGCTTGGTCTTCCCACACTCTGCCACCATTGCTACAAGCGATGAAGCGCCTTGAGGCGACTTTTGTTGTGATTTGGCGCTATATAAATAAAATTGAATTGAATTGAATTGTAACCTCACTACTCAACAAAGTGATCCATGTGATCCCTGTACTGACTCCTTCCCACCTCTGACAAATCCCACAACTGCAGAATTGTCCAAGAATAATTTTTTTACAGATCACACCGCTGTGAGTGAAATCAGGAGTGTACAGGGTGAAGAGAAAAGGCGAGAGTACGGTCACCTGTGGTGCTCCTGTGCTGTGACTGACACACACACACACACACACACACACACACACACACACACACTGTAGTATATAAACGCTACATATTTTCAGTATACAAAAGCATGGTGTCTTATCAGGGCCCCCTGGTGGATCACAAACGTACTGCAGGTGGGCTGCAGTAATAACAGGAATTCAGTTTGTACATTTCTGTAATTTCAATCACATTAATATAAATGTATTAATTGATATAATAAGTGAATAATTCAAGGTGGTTAGTTTTGGATATTACAACTGACCTAAATTTATTAAAGTTTGTGTTGGGTTGCATTAGCAATTTATAGCCAACAGCCTAAGAGCTTTATGTTCTTTGCATGGTTCACAAGGAAATGCATCATTTTCTGTTGTATTTGATTACAGTGAAGGTTTAATGATGGGTGGGTCCAATTTTATTTCCTGTTTTTTTTTTTTTTTTTTTTTTCCGTGTATCGTGCCCACCCCCAAGATCCTATATGTATGTGTAATGAGAGTGTGAGTAACGTGAATGTCTAAGTTGTGGGATAAAATTGAGGCAGAGGCAGCCAGAAGGGGACAGGGGGGGGGGGGGGGGGTAGCCTCCTCTGCACCCTGGTGACATACCCTACTCCAAGGTCCTGCATGTGTGGGTGGTTGTGGTGGAGCGGGAAGAGAGAGGCAGCTGGAGATGGGGAGGGAAGGAAGGGAGGGGCAAGGGACCCCTCCCTGGGGCCAGCTCCCCGCTGACCCCAGTAGGCACCCCCATACTCCGCGACCTGCCAGGGAAAGGGGGCCCAGGCCCATCCAGACCGGGGCCCAGTGCAGCAGCGCCTCCCGGCCCCACAGAGCCCGGGACAGTCCACCCAACCCCACCACAGAGAAAACTGCACCCACCCCACCATCCACTCATCTTCCAGACTACATAAGACAATAAACACCCAGGCTGAGATCTTCCTCCACCTCTCCTGTGTCTCCCCCTCCTGCAGAGAGAGTTCCTGAAGAGAGGAAAGCTCCTGCAAGATGTGACAAACTCCCCCACCAGTTGAAGAGCCCCCCAGGTGGCTCGATGCACCGGCGGCACCCTGCTCCAGGGCTGGGCCCCCATGCACCCACCCGCCCACAACCCCGGCAGCACACCAACCAGGACCCAAGCCCCGAGGCCCGGCCCGGGCCCCAGCCCAGAGACGGAGCGCCCCAGAACCTCACGCCCATCCCGGACCCACCCAGGGCCAGCCAGGCTACCAGGTCAGTAACCCACGTCCGTCAGCACAGACCCTCCCCTAGCCCCGCTGCACGCAGCCGCGAGGAAACAGTCACCTGAGAGCCAACAGAGCCCCTAACCGGACATGACCGCTACCCCGGGTTGAGCCCCCCAAGGAAGATGCCTCCGGGGAACCCCCCGACGCCCTAAGCCTGTCCCTACCCCCACATCAATCACATCAGTGAAGGCGGGACCAAACTATGACCCCCCACCCCCACTAGGTGATGGAGCTGATCAAAGGAGCCCAGAGCAATTGATCTGATGTGGTGGCAGAGGCTGTATCAAGACTAATGTAATCTAATAGATAATTTCTATATTGGTTAGAATTAAGATTATTTTTATTTTTCCAGTTCATGAGGACTGTTTTCTTGGCTATGCATAGGGCAGTGAAAACCATATGGGCTATATTCTTTTCTGAAGTGACATTATCTAAGCTGCCCAACAAACACACTAAGGGGGAAGTTGGAATGTTACATTTCAGACACCCACCCATTTCCTGGTTTTCAAATGAATCGCAGCACTCTCGGCTTTGGGAATGGCTGACATAGAACGTGGCAGTAAGTCTAGCTCAGGAGCATGCCAAATACTCTTGGGCAAAATACTGACCCAAGTTTCTCTCCCCTGCGTCCGTCGGACCATGAATGTGTGTGCATGTTAGATAGAAAGCACATACTTAGAAAACGGTGTTTGTGTGAATGACCAGGCTGATGATGCAAGTTGTATAAATTGTGCTGGTGTCCCTTGTTTTCCCTTTTACTGGTGTGTGTGTGTGTGTGTGTGTGTGTGTGTGTGTGTGTGTGTGTGTGGTGTCCTGGTTTTCCTGGGACACCAGGAAGGGTTGTTCCCACTGTGGGGACCTGCCTCACCTGGAGGCATAATCACACACACCTGCAGCTGACCAGGCTCGTCTGGAGAGCTTCATAGAAGAGTGGCTGAGCTTCTGTCAACGCTGGATCGTGGTGTGACCTCCAGTCAGTTTCTCAGCAGTAACTGTTTGTAGTCAGTGTGAGTCTGCCACAAACTGTGAATGTACTAACGGCTGCCTCTGTGATTTCCCAGGAGGACTCAGGAAACGAGAGGGCAGCGTCATAAGAGGCACCATAAATATATTAAATATATAAAAATGAAGCTGTTAGGTGATAAACAAATTCCTATGTAGTTCCATCTGATAGCAAAAACACGATTATTTAAAAATTTGCATTAACAAACATTTATAAATAACACAAACAATTTTTAAAGAAGACAGTAAAAAGTCTGATTACAAAAAGCATTTCTTTAAAACAACACAAAATTAATGATTAAAATTTTCTTAAAAGTGTTATTAGTGTGTGAGAAGTATGTGGACACCCAGCTGGTTATTTATGTGACCAGCACACCATATGACATGTTTCAATTTATTTTAGTTTTTTAGTTATTTATTTTATCTTATCTCATTTTAATTTTCTTTACTTATGCTTTTAGCATGTACAGCACTTTGTGAACTCTGGTTTTATGTTAAAGTGCTTTATAAATAAAGGTGGTATGGTATGGTATGGTATAAGCTGTTCTGTCACATTGTGAGAGCCAACCAACCAGCAACCAGGATTCAACACACGAATGGCCTGACGACAAAAACTCCTCTTGAGCCTCTCTGTTCTTGTTCGGACGGTGTGGAACCTTCTGCCTGATTTCAGAAGCTGGAACAATTCGTTGTTGGGATGGGACGGGTCCTTTAAAATCTGAGTTGCTGTAGTCCAGCATCTCCTGACGTAAATGTCCTGTAGGGACGGGAGAGCAGCCCTGCGGCAGCGTTCTGCCACACGGATCAGTCTCTGAAGAGCTTTTTTATCCTTGACACAGCTGTTTCCATACCAGGATGTGATGTTCTGTGTGAGGATGCTCTCCACAGCGCCTGTATAGAAAGTCCTGAGGATCTCTGGAGAGACCCTGAACTTCCTCAGTTGTCGTAGGTGGTACAGGCGCTGCCTAGCCTTTTTGGACTGGACCTGATTGTCTGATTTATGAACAGTCTGCTGGGCACTATTGTGTTAAACGCTGAACTGTAATCAACAAACAGCATTCGCACATAGTTACCCTGTTTCTTGTCCACGTGGCTGAGGGTGGTGTGCAGGAGGTGGGCGATGGCGTCCTCTGTGGATCTGTTGGGTCGGTAGGTGAACTGCAGCGGATCTGTGGTGTCTGGGATGGAGGAAGAGATGATGTTCTTCAGCAGCCTCTCAAACACCTTCATTACCACCGAGGTCAGTGCAACTGGCCGGTAGTCATTCAGGAATGAGGGCTTGTTGTTCTTGGGCACAGGGATGATGGTGGATCTCTTGAAGCATGTGGGGACCACAGATTTCGCCAGTGACTCGTTGAAAATTGAAGTGAACACACCTGCTAGCTGGTCAGCGCAGCACCTCAGCAGACGGCCGGTGATGCCGTCTGGCCCCGTCGCTTTCCTTGTGCTCACTCTCCTCAGCGCCGCTCAAAGTCATGCTCTGCAATGCTGATCGCTGGTCCCTCTTTTTTTTTTTTTTTTTTTGTGTCCTGTTTGGATCTTTAGCCATCAGAATTGTTGTCTTAAGGCCAAGAAAGATGCCAAGCGGATTTATTTTACCAAGTGGATCATCATGGCCTTGCCAAATTGGTCCATTTGATTGACCTTTATTATAATTATGAATTTATTTTATTTTCAGTTGCTACAAACGGGACAGACATGACTGGGGGATAGGACAGGGAGAAAGAATGAAAGAAAGAGAGGGAGAGAAAGAAAACCAAAGGGGCCCATCCGGACCGGGGCCCGCAGCAGCAGCACCGCCCAGCCCCACAGAGTCCAGGGCAGCCCACCCGACTCCACCCCAGAGAAAACTGCACTCCATCATCCAATCATCTCCCAAACTACACAAGACAATAGACACCCAGGTTGAGTTCATTCTCCACCTCTTCTATATCTCTCCCCCCACCTGCAGAGTGGGCTCCTGTAGTGAGGAGACCACCTGCAAAGATATAACAACCTCCCCACCAGTTAGAGAGCCCTCTAGTTGGGCCGATACACCAGAGGTCCCCTGCACTGGGGCTGAGCCCCCCTGCACCCACCCGCCCACTGCTCCGGCGACACAACAGCCAGGACCCAAGCCCCTAAGGCCCGGCCAGCACCCAGACCGGGGGGCGGAGCACCCCCAGACCCCCAAGCCTCCACGCCCGTCCCGGACCCTCCCAGGGGCAGCCAGGCTACCAGGCCAGTAACCAACGTCCGCCAGCACAGACCCTCCCCCATCTCCGCTGTACGCAGCC